TGTGGACTGATTTCATGTGGTTGATCACGTGGCGCCCTGCAGAAGGAAATGAAAACACACTGTATACACTTTGTCAGCTCTGTCAGGAATGTAAAGGAAGTGGTTTTAGTAGCACTTGTCTCTTTGACACAAATTAACAGCCAGATTGCAAACTGTAAAAAAAGACATGAAGGTGAAAAAGACAAGAAAAAGTCATTTTGGGGGAATTCAGTCTTTTAGATCCTAGTTTGTAATAAAGTCTTTGAGTTCATTGTGAAAGGAAGAGAGTATCAGCCGGTGGTTCAATCTGTTCGGTCATTCATACTTTCTAATCCTCTGTTTCCTGTGTTTTCTATTGAAGCATTGTCTTTCACAAACCTAATCTACCCCTCTGCTCCTCCTGATTCTGCGTACTTCGTACGTGGCTGCAGTGTTGTTAGTAATTTCAGCCTCTTGGATTCCCACTTTTGAAGATGTTTCTCTTCTTTCGATTCCAGCTCGAGCAGCAGGAGCCAGCCTGCGTTCCTGCTCTGTTTTTGCACAAAGAACAACTGTGCGTGTTATGATGCGTTACCGCTTCTTTTGGCCATTTTTGTCACCAGGTTTTGTCCATAGAGAAAGCAGACAGCACCAGCGCGCTGCCCAACCCTGTCATAGTGAGTATTCGGACTAAAAAGGCCTTCCAGCTGATTGAGCTGAACGACAGAGACGAGCTGGTTGAGAACATGAACTCCAGACTTCGAGCGCTGCAGTGGAAACGGTCCATGTTCCGCAGCAGGAAAGAGGGCAAGAGGAGCGTGGTGAGTGGGACGTTTAATTAGGTGGGACCCGCCATTTATACGGATAATAGAAAATGAAACAATGCAACAACACAACAGAAAGAACTAGTCAGTAATGTTCAATACACGGGGTTGTTACCAAAACCATAAAGACAAACGGTTGCTAGAAGCACTTTATGATGTTCTCTCTAATCAAAGTTAAAATGCCATATGTGGAACTGGAAACACTTCCTGTATGACGGCTAAGTACTGCAAGCACTGCTCAGCTCTAATTTCAAAGGGATCCAGTCATAGAAATATTGTTTGTAATTACTGACGTTTCTTTTGTTCCTCACATTTTCCACAGAGCTCCCCAACACCTTACTACACCTTCTATTATGACACCGGGTACTCTGATGAAGAAGAGATAGAGGAGCATGTCCTGCGCAACACTGTCAACAGTGAAGCTCTCATGACGGCCTTCCACCAAAACCAACCAGGAACCAACGGCAACAAGGTGGGAGGAGTCTGAGACACCGTTCATCTAAACCTGTAATTTGATATATAAATAACCAATCGAATGAATTCAGAGTCACTTCAGATCTGATTTAAAAGGCTCGTCTCTCCCTAAGAGTTAGAAAAGAACAATATCCATCAGCTGAATGTAGTAAGTCAGAATCAGGAAATGTGTGTGTTTGTGTCAGAGCACGGATCAGGTGAAGGAGCGGCTGTGGGAGGATCATTTCTCTGAGTTCGGACGTGGCGTCCACATGTTTCGCACAGAGAAGATCCAAAAGCTTGTGGCCATGGGGATACCAGAGTCACTGCGAGGGGAGCTGTGGATGATATTTTCAGGTATATAAATATATATGTGTATACAGTTGTGGTCAGTGGTAAGTTTACATAGCCTGGAAGAATTTATGCTTTTTTGTTTGTTTTTGTCCATTTTTCAGAAATAATGATAATACAAAAACGTTATTTTGGGTTAAATCATTTATCCACAGCTGTGTTTTCCCTTTTTAAATCATAAAGACAACAGAAACTACCCAAGACCCTGATCAAAAGTTTACATACCCCGGAAGTTTTGGCTTGATAGCA